CACCAAAATTCAAGGGTGGCTATTACCCCCTTTTTACAGATGAAGACACTGAAGCTCAGAGGGTCTGATGGACTTGCCCAGGTTCATACATAGTAGAGCCTTTATCCATGTGGGGGACTTTTGACCACAGTGACTTTTTTGTGTGCCACTGTACTCTATTACCTTCTCCTGGAGTTATTCTATTTTTTGTTTTCTTCCCTACCCAAATGGCTCAACTGTTTTTGAGCTAGCCACTTGGACTGTGGTCAATGTTTTTGCCAGTGTTCTTTGTAAAGCTTTGCAGTTCAGTTGCATAGCAGACAATTTTTTTAAAAATTGAAGTTTATAAATATACATATGGAAGTCAAGAACAGGTTTCCTCAAGTGATTCACGAGCATATTACGTATGAAGGAGAAAAGCTTGCCGGCTTTCAGCAGTTTGTGTGAAGAATGACATAGAGCCAGAAGAATGTGGCCCAAGAAAGAACCACAGATGTACCTACCCCCTTGCTGGCTCCCAGTGGTAGGGAGTGGAGTTGAGCCAGACCTGAGGCAGAACATGATTGCTCATTGTGTAGGTGAACAGCTGGGATTCATTAGGGCTGGAGACTTCCATGAAGAGGCCAGTTATAGCAGGCTCCAGTGGAAGGACTCTTTGTCTTTTCCACAAGCTTGCCCTTCTCCATCTCTGGCCTTGGATAACTTGAACTTGGTGTTTTGCACAGCTGATGGAAACCAAACTTAATTACCAGAAGTCTGAGATGCCTCTTGTAGGTTTGCAGACCAGTTCCATCTCGGCCCTCTTATCTCTGGCTTTCCTAGTATGTGGTTGCTGTTTAGTTGCTGATCTGCAGAAGTGATAGCTGGGAGATTGGAAGAACTGAAAGAATTTACAAAGACAGGCTTCTCTGTGTTTCTCCCTGTGGATTTACATGCAAACAGCCACCCTGGTGGCACTGAACAAGCACAGGTTTTGTTAGAGTACCTCAACTTTTCATGTGAAAATTAGTGGGTATTATGACTTGTAATTAAATAGGTGGCCTGACTCCATGTATTACAGCCAATTTTTTGTTCCAGAATGCTGATTATTAGTAGATAATTCTTAATTCCAGGTATCATTCCCTACCTCCCAGCATGCCACTTTGTCTTTTTCATACATAGCCTTTCTTGCGATTTATTTTCCCCTGAAGCAAGCAATTGTAGGAGGTGAGGGTAGAGGGGGAGATAAGCATCATAGAAATAGCTAACATTTATTGAGATCTTAGTATATTTCAGGCACTGTTTTGAGCTCCTTACTCCAGCCCTATGAGGACAGGTACTATTCTTTGGACTTAACAGAGAGGAAACCAAGGCCATCACGGGTGAAATAACATGCACAGGTGTACACAGGTAGCAAGTGGTCCATCTGCATTCAACATTGGTCAGTATGGTCCACAGCAAGTGCTCTTAAGTCAGAAATACTTTTTTAAAGGTGAGGAGGAGGTGAAGGGGCTCTCCAAATGTCCACTGTGCAGTTCATAGACTAGACTCAATGATTGCATATATCCACAAAATCACTTTCCCCAAATCTAAGGGATATTTGGTCCATTTTTAAATTTCTACTTCTGAAAAGCAGTGATTCTAAAAAACCTGGGAGTTTGTAAATGAGAAGGCGATGGCTCTCTCTTATTAAAAAACCTGGATACAAAAATTTGCATATGATTTTGGACGATTCAAAGTCCCTCTAAAAACCCCATCTCAACCGGGAGCTTCCAGATTAAGAAGGCCTGATTTAGAACAATACTAAACCCTATCAGTATGAAAAATGGAACTGACCATAATGGGGACAGAGAAAGGTAAACTTGTAGGAAAGTAGAAATTTGTGTAGGGCTAAATGTCCTCAGGTAAACTACTGACTTTTCTGTATCATAATAACAACTTTCCTCTTTCTCTTCCAGCCCTGGGATTATTGTGCAGTTCAACAAGTTAATATCTGATTACTGCTTTGAATTCTCCAGAAAAATATAGCCCCCACCTTTGCAAAGCATCTTTTTGAGAGTCTCTTTCCAGGTTCCTCAGCTCTAGGAAATTAAAAAACCCAAATTAGTGACAACAAACTAGGAAATCAACTCTTGAAGGGGTTTCCAGAAACAGAAAAAGGGCCTCTGTTTCCAGACCCCTGAACCAAGAGAAGTAAAAACCCGGTACCAGAAACTTTTTGGTTTTGCTATAGAGATTCCTCTGGTCTGATAAGGGTCTAGGGTTGTCTCCAACGATTAACTTCTGTCTGTCCTGGTAGAGAGGGGAGGTGGAGACACTTTTATAAATTCAAGTTGTGCTTTTAGGAAAATTGGGGGAGAGCAGAGACCTCTTCTTGTATCTGTTTCTTCTTAACTGCTTAAAATAATCCTTCTGCATATTTGGGGGTGGTATATACTGCTACCCTTCAGCTTCATCACCTAGAGCCCCACCCTGTCAAGGGGATGTGATTCAGGTAGGGATGAGGCTGCTGGGTATTGACTCAGGGAGGTGTGTGTGTAGGGAAAGAGGGGACTGGGCAGATGGAAGGAAGAAAGAAGTGGTGCTGTCAACTGGGGTAGAAACAGATTCCTGAGAGGCTCTTACGGCTACAGTTATTTGGAAACTAAGTCATCTTTTTCCCACTGCCATCACCAAAGGACTAGTTGGCCAGCTACAAGGTGAACCTCCCTTTTTCTAACCTCTGCCCTCTACCTCATAGGTATACGCTGCCCTCTGGTATTCTGCTCCTGTTTAAGTCTACTCTTGGTGCTTATTTTAAACTGATTTCACCTAGATATGGAAGCTGAGGGTAGGAACAAGACCCAGACCATGGGATTTTCTTGGGGTCAGTCTCAGAACAGATAATAGAGATAATGATTAATATTTATTGTGCCCTCAGTATGTGCTAGGCTCTGTGCTATGGGCTTTACATGCATAATCTTATCAAATTCTTCCAATGATCGACAAAGTAGGTTTGATTATTATTTCCATTTTACAGATGAGAAAACTGAGATTCAGAGAGTTACTTAACTTGCTTAAGGTCACATAGCCAGAAAGTGGTAAATCAACAATTAGAACACAGCCTCGCTGGATTCTTACCAGTCATTTCACTGCAGCAGGCCCCCAGAAGCAGGGCTGGAGTTTAGAAATTCTTTCTAGTAGAATCAGTAATCCAGGGTGACTTCTCTTCCTGAGACTTAGCTTTGAGCCCAGCACCCCCTATTCCTAAACCAAGGCCTTCCAGGACCCCCTCCCCCACTGCTGCCACCCCGCAACATCTGGAGAATAAAATTAAATCACCCTGGTCGCAATCTTATTATTCTCCTGTTCTCTGCCACAGCCAAATTACACATACATATTGTCTATCCTCTTTAGCTAGCTTTTGTTATTCAGTTCTGTTTGTTCTATATCTCGATCTCTTTATCTCTCTCTCTATCTATATATAGTCATGTGCTGCTTAACAATTGGTATATATTCTGAGAAATGTATTGTTAGGCAATTTCATCATTGTGTGAACATCATAGAGGGTACTTACATAAACCTAGATGGTATAGCGTACTCATGACTGGTTATATTTATCAAAGCTCTTATAAAATGCATTTCAATGATATATATTGCCATGAATACCTTGGTGGGGGGAAAGTATAAAAATAAGTTATGATATACACATACACATACTCATTATTTCCTAGTGATACTGGCTAAATTCAGTCCTTCCTCCTAGAAAGACCTCCCTCCTTCCCTCCATGGATTGAAATTCTACCTCTTTCTCTCATTGTAAGTGAAGCCTCCAGGCTCTGGGAAGCCTTCCCACCAACCCGGGCCCTGAATAATCATTTGCTTCTCCCAAACTTGGTTCTTAATCTGAGAGTGCTAACTGGGACCGAGCATGGCCCCAAACTCCAGCTGTACATTAGGGCTGTGTGTGAGTCTTGTTCTGCCACTTCTAGATAAGTGATCTTGAGCATGTCACTTAATCTCTGAGTCTTCCTTTCTGTATCCATAAGATATGGGCAATACCACTTATTGTATCTTGTTCTAGTCTGATCTCACGCTGTTAATAAAGGCATACCCGAGAATGGGTAATTTATAAAGGAAAGAGTTTTGATTGATTCATGGTTCAGCATGACTGGGGAGGCTTCAGGAAACTTACAATCGTGGTGGAAGGAGAAGCAAAGCTGGTAGCAAGGAGAAGAGCTGAGCAACAAGGGGAAAAGCCCTTTACAAAACCATCAGATGTGAGAACTCACTCATTATCACAAGAACAGCAGCATGGGGGTAACTGTCTCCATGATTCAATTATCTCCACCTGGTCCTTCCTACAACACGTGGGCATTATGGGAACCACAATTCAAGATGAGGTTTGGGTGGGGACACAGCCAAACCGTATCAAATGGTTAAATATAATTCTGCATATACAGCATCCTAAGAAGCTCTATAGCCTGGTGGCTAAGACTACAGCCCGTGAACCTACGCTGCCTGGGTTCAAACTCTGGCTCTGCCCCTCACTAACTGTGTAGCCTTGGATGAGTTACTGAATTCTCAATGGTTTCATTTCTCTAATTGAAAAATATAAAAGCTAGGTTTGTTGTGAGGAGTAATCGAGTTAAAACATGTAAGGTACATGACACCTGGCACAAAGTTTATCAAAAATGTCACCTATTATACAACATCCCTCTTCCTCACTTTGAGATGTCACTTGCTGTGTTGTACCTAAACTGAGCCCTCTCGGTAGAGGCAGCGACGGTTCTTCTCCATCCCTGCCTGGCATGTGCTAGGAACGATTTATGTTGCTGAATTCACCGTCATGGGGATCACAGAAAGAGGAAAACTTTTTTCAGTAGCCTATAGTTGCAAAAGATAAGGTTCCCAAACTGTCATCACCTGGAGCAAACGGAAGGGGAAGGAGTTAAACGAGGGTTGTTGGGTGCGGGGTGAGGGAAGGCTCCCTTTCTCCTCACATCACCAACTACTCCACCTCCGGCCAGGCTTTCAATCAGGCTCCCCGCGTGCAGTCAGGGGGTCACAACCAGCTCCCACCTCAGCCTCCCGCAGCGAGACCTCCCGGCCTCACCTGAGCGAGGGAATGGCAGCATCTCTGCTCCCGCCCAGGGTCCTGCGGCCCCTCCTCGCAGCACCCAACACAGGGAGCCCACCTGGACCTGGGCTGGTCTCCCTGTCCCGCAGCTTCCTTCCCAGCCGCCGTCCGCGGCTCTCCGCGTGCGGCCACACCTCCCGGTGCCCCGCAAGGGTTAAGACAGCAGAGATGAGAGGTTTGGGCTGACGTCGCTCTGGCTGAAGGTGGTTCCCCTCTGCTGAGGATGAGAGAGCCTGGCGAGCTGAAACCCGAGCTCCGGTTCAGCTGGGGCTCGGGGAGGTCCCTGTAAGAGCCGCCTGCCCCCGGGCCTCCCTGGGTCCCTCCTATCCCTCCCCAGCAGACGCTCGGGCACCAGCCGCGGCAAGGATGGAGCTGGGCTGCTGGACGCAATTGGGGCTCACTTTTCTGCAGCTCCTTGTCATCTCGTCCTTGCCAAGAGGTACTGTGAGTAGCGTCCGGGACACCCTCAGACGGAACATTTTCCTCCTGGGGTCTGTCTGGGAGAAAGACTGGGAGTCTCAGGAGGTGGGGTGTGTGCGTTTGGGGTGGGAGTGGGGGGTTGGGGGGTGCTTTGCCAGTGATAATCTTGGGGACTTGGCTGGTGGTGCTGGAGCTCCTGTGACCCTCCCCTAAGACTGTGAGATTGTTTTGTCATCCCCAATCGTAGGACTGAACTGTCTCAGGAAAGGGGACCAGCTCCCATTTTTACTTACTCTTTTTGTCATTTTAAAAGTACCAAATTGCCTTAGGGAATCAATTCTGTCTGTGTTACCCACTCTGACTTGCAAAAGCAAAGTTTCCCTTGGCAAGGGATTCCCTCAGAGGTGAGCAGGAAAGAATGAAGAGAGGAAAAGAAAGAAAGGAATAAAGAGCAGGGCTTGCTTAGTGTTTTCTGGTGAATCTTGCTTCATGAAATCTTACCGCCATACTCCTTCAGAGCAGACCCAAGCACAGGATTGACTCACTCAGCACATATAGACACACTTCCTTTCTGATGTGAGAAAGAAGAAAAAGCCAAGGTTAAAAGTGCAGATTGTTTCTGGGGATGCACAGAGTTTGTTTTGAAAGATCTCTAGGTTCTCTGGTTTTCATATGTTATTTTCTAAGCCACAATCCCCAGGTCAAATGAGCTTCTGGGGACAAATGAGGCTGGAACATGACATGGAGATCCAGCTAAGGGCAGAAGCGAGGGAATGGCAGGCTTGTCTTAAAACAGCCTGCTTGCTGGCAGGGAGGGAAGTGGGAATGACATAGGAACATCTGTCCTTCTATGGCCCAGGGGTTAAGGTGAGACCTCATGAGGTGAGGACAGGCTGAGATGTACAGATATGACTAAACAGGGCACCTCTGAATAGGGGCTGGCTATGTGTGAGCCTTTGCTGCTTCCCTTCTGTGCTGGCTACCTGTCACCTGAGCTCTACCTGAGAGCTGGGTGCTCTGTTGCTGCAAGTAGCTGTCAAGTAGCCAGCAAGAGAATGAAACAGGCCAGGTAAGGTGTGGCAAGGATGCTAAATGCAGTAGCCTGTGTAGAAGGGAAACACACTCATACATACATCCCTTCATGATCAGCAAAAAGCTGAGATACGCGAACTCCCCTGTCCTTCATTTTGGTCAATACTTTCCATCTGCTTAGAGCCTGCCTGCCCAGGTGGGGTCTTCTTTAATGATTTACAATCAAGACGATGAGTGTTTCATTTGAATTTTGCTTCTGTGGTGTTTGGAGCAGCCCAAAGACAGTAGTAAAGGAAGAAGGAACCCTTCATAAGGACTGACAATCCATAAACCTAAACACTTGTCCAGGGGTACGTAGGTGACTTTGCATTAAGACACCTCCCTACTTCATCTCTGCCTTTGGGCATGGTGTCAGTAGACCAACTCCAGAAGGACCTGGTTCTCCGCAGAGTGCCAGGGCTGAGAGGATTTGATTTCTCCTGGTTATGTCAGTGTTCCCCTGCTTCTTTTTTATAACATGGCAGGTGAGATGCTTCAAAGCCATTAAAGTTAAAAACAAACAAACAAACACACACACACACACACACACACACCAAAAAACCTGAGCTGCCTCTTTTTCCTAGCCTAGAATCTGAAAAATCCATTTCGTTCTGACCCAAGAACCTCTTTTATTTTTTTGCTATGGAAAAGCTTCAGGGAGGATGCACGTTTTGTTGGTAGCTAAACTGCTGCCTGAACCAGAGTGCAGCTTCATGTGTTTAGCAAGGATATTTTAGTTGTTGAATGTTTTACTCACATTTAGAGGGAAGACAGAGGAATAGCGTGGAGAAGGAAAATATTTCTTCAAGTAGCGAGGGGAGTCCACTCCCTGCTGGGATTCTGAATCTGGCCCTGTCAAGAAAAGCTTGGAAGCATATTTCCTCTAATTAACTTTTCTAAAAAGATTATTTGCTGAAATGTAAACATCCACTGGGATAGTACCGGAGAGTGTTGTTGCTCACTGGCGTGTGACACATGTTGGGAGGATGAGAATCCAAACATGAGGCCAAGTGATAACACAACATAAACAGAATGAGGGAAGAAACCCAGCTCCACTGACTTCACCAAATTGCAGTAGCTCTGCCAGTGTGATTCTGCTGAAGAGGAAAACCTCATTTAAAATATGGGACTCTTGGGAATGAAACCTTAATCTGGAGAACTTCACAAGTGTTGCTTCCAACAGACATGAGCTTGTGGGGAATGAACATAAATGCAACTAGGGAAGATAATTTGAAGTGCAGATATTCAGTGGGCAGGAAAAGCCAGCTGAGAAAGGAAATGTGGAAAGAAAGCAAGGGAGAAGGAGTGGCAAGAAAAATTAGATGTTAGATTACACTGGGATGTGTTGCCAGATTCCTAGGAGAAAGCTAGGAAAATTGGGCCTTCTTGGCAGAGGTGAATTTTTGCAAGGATCATGAAGAGGGTGTTCCCCTAATATATACTCTGAGAGCTCCTGGCATTCCCAATAGGAAAATAATTTAATGATGGGATCATGGATTTTGGGAGCTGAGAGTGACTTTAGAGATTATTTTAGGATGAGTTCCTCAATTCGGAGAACAAAGAGATTAAACATCAAGCAAACACAGTGAACATTTTTATGTCCAGTCTTTGAGCCAAAGGCTTTATGTGCATTAATTCTCAGACCACCCTGAGATAGTATTGCTATTATTATCCCCGTTTTACAGATGAGATCCAGAGAGGTTCTATGATACCCAGAGGTTTAAGGATACACAGGTATGATTCCCCAAAAAATTAAACAGAATTACCACTTGATCCAGCAATTCCATTTCTGGGTGTATACATGAAAGAAAGCAGGGGCTTGATTAGATAATTTTACATCAACGTTCATAGCAGCATTATTCACAACCCACATGTCCATTGATGGATAAACGAGATGCAGTATATACCTATGATGGAATATTATTAAGCCTTAAAAATGAAGGATATTCTGATACATGCTATACCACAGATGCATCTTAAGACCTTATGCTAAGTGAAGGAAGCCAGACACAAAAAGACAAATGTCTGTGATTCCATTTATATGAGGTACCTAGAATAGTTACATTCACGTAGACAAAAGTAGGATGGTAATTGCCAGGGGCCAGAGAAGATGGAATGGGGAGTTATTATTTGGTGGGTATAGAGTTTCAATTTGGAATAGTGAAAAGTTCTGGAGAGGGTCGGTGGCGATGGTTGCATATTAGTTTGAATGAATGTACTTATGACACTGAACCATGCACTGAAAAATGATTTGAAAGGTAATTTTATGTTATATATATTTTCCACAATAAATAAATAAAAGACTACAACACTGGCAGATTAGTGGAGCTCAGCGTGAGCTCAGGCTGTCTAGTTTCTGAACCCAAGTTTCCCTGTTACCTGGATGACTTACATTTAAACATCCAGCATATGGACTGATTATGCTGATGGACATCTAACTTTGTTAAGGTTTCAGGACGCACGTGAAGCAGGGGAGAGGGAGCCCTTGCTGTCTCCTGTTTCAGTGGCATTGTTGCTGCATCTTGGCTGGCTGTGGCCAAGAGGGAGACTGTGCTGATGGACCATAAACTGACAGCCTTTGGAGCCAAAAGGCCCGCAGAAGTTATTTAGTAGGACACAGTGCTTCATAGTGTTTTGAACCTGAATGTCTTGAGGTAGGCTGGACCCTCTCTAGGGTCTGTCACCCCACCTCTCAACCCATATGTTTGATACCGGATAATGCCTGCTAGCGTTTGAAGTTTTGACTTCCGTTTCTGAGAGGGATGGGACAGGAAGGGGGAATGAGAGAGAGAAGGTGAAAGGCTGGATGCTGAATGGAAGAGAATAAGGGAGTCAAGCCTCTGAGGACTAACTGGCCAACAGCATTTTTCAGAGCATCTGGTACATCAGACTTTTATCAGTGTCTAACATACTTTAATCTGTATATTTCATGGAACATAATCTCACTTCTCTCTGTGACCTCCAACTCTGGTAAAATGTTTTACTTTCATGAATGCCCTTGAGTATGTGTTTTCTGTGGAATCTGAGGACAGGCCTGGGTGTTATATCTGGGTCAATAACCTGTGAATAAAGCACCTTAGATGTGGGAGCCCAGAGCAGAGGTGGCCTAGAGCATGTAGTCCCTCAGGAGTAGGCAGAAGTCTTGGGAAGGGATTTAGAATGCCACTGGCATGGACCATGGGTTTGACTGAATCTTATCCTCATCTGGGTTATACTGGCTAGACAGAAATGGCCAAAATAATGGTGCCCAGGACTTAATAACAGGTCTTAAGTCTGAAAATTATTTCCATCCGCCCCACTGGGGTGGCTAATCCTGATGCAAAAGAAAGCTTCTCTACCTGCCTCCCCTGGGACCAGCTCTAGAGGCTTGCAGTTGATTTGGGATATAAGCAAATTGGGAAAAGTGCCATGTCCATGATAAATGAGGGAAAGTTGTGCCCCGTTCCCCTGTTAGGAGGGAGGAGCTGTCATCCTTACTCTGTGAATATCTGAAAGTCACAAGAGCCCAGCCTCCCTCCCCTCTTATTTTAAAGGGGAGGGAAATGCAGTGTTTACATTTTCCAGTTCCTGAATTCCAGGGCAGAGGACCTGGAGGCCAGCTGGAAAATTGAGAGCTACCAGATCAGTGACAGAAACTCTATTAGATTCCAAGCCTGATCTATGTTCAAGGAATTCTGTTTGTCAGTCAGCATACGACCTAGACCAGAGCTTTAGATTAAAATGAAGAGAAGTACAACTGAGTGCAGTGGCTCATGCCTATAATCCAAGAAAAAGGGCTAGAGTTGATTAGGGAGTAGCAGTCACACTGCTTCAGAGAGGCCAAGGTGGGTGGATCACGAGTTTAAGAGATTGACAACAGACTGATCAGCCAACATGGTGAAACCCCATCTCTACTAAAAATACAAAAATTATCTGGGTGTGGTGGTGCATGCCTGTAGTACCAGTTAC